GTAACTCATGTAACATCTACCCACATTACTACCCCTCATTCTACCCATTGATTATATGGAAGACTTCTTCACCTATAAATAGTGGTGTTTCTTCCTTTGTGAAGCATCCAAAGTAGAAGTGTGAAAATAATGTAAGAAAAGATGAGAAGTTTATATTGAGGTTAGTGTAGTGAAAGAGAGAGTTGAGACAAAGAAAATATTCTAAGTCTTCAACTATATTCACTATACAAAAGAGAGTATTATATATTGAAGGAAGGTGTTCTTTTTGTGGAGCTTTGGACTCTTCAACTAATTCGGAGTTGCTTGAGTTGTACGACGTTGTTGGGTTGTTGTATCCTGGAGGGGACAAGTCAAGTGTGATACTGCTGGATCGAGGTAGATTATGCCGCAGTGGACTTGAATCTCCTTAAAGAGAGTGAAATATCCGCGCCTCAGCCTGAAGAGATTTTTATTTCTTCATTTTATTTTTAATTGTAATTTTGTAATTCTGTCATCTTGTAATTTTTCACTAACAATTTTAAGGAGATTCATGTTTTTATTACAGTTTGAAAAAATGCGGATATCAAGATAGAGATCTCAACATAATTCCGTTCAACACCGCTCCCTTCAAGAGATGGAAGAGAAGAGGTGTTCGGTAAAGTATTTTTCTACTTGCTCAATTCAAGTGGAGAAAGGGTAAAGGAATTTTTTTTTACCTAGTATTTTCATGAATAAAGTGATACTACTTTTCATGAAAAAATAATATTTAAATTCATAAAATAGTAGGGGTTCATGAAATGAGGGAAACAAAAATTATTGTAAAAAAATGATTTTTGTATCTTTGAGAAATGCTCTAAAAAGGGTATTACAAGTGCATATATTTATTATGGAATAAAACACATGTTGTTTGGCTATAATGAGGTGATTTTCAGCTCTAACATGAGAGTTATAAATAAATTATGAAAAATGTGTTGAGTAGCCATTTTGATAAGAAATATATGGTGAGATAAATTTCATTCTTGAAATGAAAAATACCATACATGTGATGAAAATTTCCTTGTCAAATCACATACTATTGAAAAATTGTGAAGTACAATCTTATTGGTCGTGTGAGTCTTGCAACTCCTTTTGATTCAATTGTGAAAATGGTGTGACAAAGAAAGAAAGAGTTTGCTAGCCTAATTAAAAAATATGAGATATGTGATTACTTGCTCTTTATATGATATTGTGTATAAAGTATTAGATGTACAAGCAAATCAAGTAAATTTACTTGGTACGAAATTTGGTGGCTTGTTTTATGAGAAAAAATATTATGCTATACTTAAAAGTTTTGATGGTGCAGATAAGAAAACTTGGTGCTATTTGATGGAAGTAAGAAAAGCAAATCATATTGCTTGCTAACTCTACTTTGAAGGTTGAAGTAAATAATTAAGCTTCAACTGTTGACACCAAATTTTGGTATGATATTTCTAACGTTAATACTTTTTAAGTATTTTATTTTTTAAATAGTTCAGAGTATATGTTTTGTCATTTTAATGCAATTTGTTGATATATATCCTTATTCCCAAAGTATTAGGATCTTTATCGGTTAATTCTGTTTATATTATTTTGTCGCAGCCGGTTGAATACATTCAAATATTTGTTCATTTTTTATAAAATCATTATTTCTGTTAAATTGCATTTTTTACATGTCATTGGCTATGTTCATTACATTTTTTCATATTCATTTTATCTGTTACATTTGTTAAATATTCATTTTGATATTTTGCACAGTCCAGAAATTCATTCTGATATGGATAAGATTTCATACACATATATTTTATTAACCGGTAGTTTTGGTTCACGGTTTTAAGATAGTGGTATTGTACTATTTGTGGTTTTCAATTCCTTATTTAAAGAATAACTTGCTCATTAAGTTAACGAGTGGTGGATAAGATTTTTAGGGGTAATTTTCACATATCTTTTAGCCTTCAAAAAGTTTTTCTTTTATTGTTTCTTAGTTTTTCCGGCGACACTCACCGGAGTTCCGCCGGAATTCGGCGAGTCCACCACCAAAAGACCCCATTTTTTTCCGTTCTCCTCTTCACTGCCAGCTCCTCCCAAACCCCATAGCCTATCCTTTTTCCGTTCACTTTTCCCGTCTAGAAACCCCACAAATACCACCAACAACCGCTCCATTTTCCTTCACCCAAAACCAGATGATAAGGATATTATTGTAAATATAATTAAAGAGTTTTGTACTTGTAATTGCCTTATAAATAGCACACGTTCAAGCGCTGGCTATTCGCACAGGCTTGGTTTGTTTTCTCCAATCTCTCTGAAACTTAAACTTCAACTTGGTATCAAGAGCACCATGGTTTCTCAAACTACTTCTGCTCAAACTTCTTCCTCAATTACAAGTACATAACTCTCTAATTATATTTACAATAATATCCTTATCACCAGTAGATAAAATAAAAAGAAGATTACCATTGCCAACTGTTTTATTTAAAATAATATTTTAGACCGGTTTAGAGTCGCCACTTAATTTTTAAGGTGAAATTAAGAAAATCGATTTTTTCGACAGATTAAAATAGAAATCAATTGAAAATATACAAAGGATTCGAGGTTCTTATTAACATTTCGGGAAGGGGTTTAAAGCACCCGAAATGCCCGCTAATACGCGGTTATCCGGCGATTAATTATTTGGCTAAAAATAATCTTAACTTAACTTGAATTGCAAAATTGAAATATTTTGTTGTTAGGACCATTTTAAGGGGAAAATGTTGAAATATATCTAAGCGAAATATTTTGTAAACTTATTTGTTTATTTTATTTTTTAAGTCGAGTAAATGATGAATAATTTAGTTAAGTAATTAATTCAAAATGGGTGTCTTTCGGGGATTTGAATTTTTCGACTTAAGATTAACAACAAATATTAACAAGTAAATAAACATAATCAAAATGAAGAGGGAAAGAGATTTTGGCCCAAATCTTGTTTTCCTGTCCGCCTGTGCCAGTATTTGGGCCCATTTGAGTCATCTACACCTGTCCTAAACTAACATAAAAGAAGTATATTTTTTATCTTTGGGACTTAGGCCCAATTCTTTCACCTGTCCTAGGAACTAACAAGTATAGCAAATAAGTGGGCTTAGGCCAAAATAACAAAATACAATTTTCTTTGAATTAAGAGTGGGCCTTTGGCTCAATCTTTTCAATTTCTCGATCTGCTGCATATTCTTTCAACTCCAGGACCTGTTCGTCGATTTTATGGCTGGCCGACTCGGGTAAAAATAGAATTAGGCCTCCATGGCCTACAGAAAAATGCAAGGATAGGGTCCGTTGGCCCCGTACGAATTTCACATGCAATCAAAAAGGATACAAAAGTCAATGTATAATCCGACTTGAAATAAATGTAGAAGAAGCATATCGATTTGCGAGAAATATTCACTGACTCAAATAATAGATGAACATACAACCCCACTAAAGGGAATCATACAGGAACACAATGGACAGTAATAACTTTAAAGAAGATTAAAGGGGCCCAATAGCCACTTGGTCACAAACAGTTAAGGTACTGCCATACTAACTAATAATACACATGTGCAAAGCAGAATCATGCATTCAAGTGTAAAAATAGAAATAAAAAAAAAGAGGAAGTAACATGTGCACTACACCGACCCACATCTTAAAACAAAATTAGATAAGGACTGATTATTAATCATCTTAAAATAAAACGACTATTAAGACTTGCAATTTAACGCTAGGAAATAATTTTTAGAACACTGGACGGATGCATACAATCACTAAATTGAAAACACACGAAGATAAACAAGGAACATATTTGTTGAACTTGACCAAAGTTGAGCTTCACTTAGGATAATATGGCGAACTACGAATTACAGAAAAGGTATAGCAAAAGTGGGCAATAAATGCTTAGCATGAAACAGTGACTAATAATATATCCTTAATAGTTGACTACCACTTTGGTATGAGGAGTTATCATTAATCATGTAAGCAAAATACTAAGTCCTAAGCAAATAATGGCAAAGTGGCATCTTAAGGGACTGTGAAGGATAATGACCCGATTTGACATGATTTTGAAAGCAATAACCACATATTTAAGGGATAGCATTTACCCGAATTTAGTGACATGCTACAGATAGAAATACACTACAAATGCATATATACGAAAACTTCTTAACAAGGTCAGACTTCAGAGACTCAAGGTTGAGAATATGAGCATGAACCAAACTGAAACTACCTATCATTGGTATTGAACACAACTTGAACAAGACAGAATAATAACTTAATTCACAATCACGATTCGAACTTAATTCAATTAGATTAACGTCCAAAGAAACAGGTTCATAATGCTCAAAGACTACTCAAAATAAAGCCTAACGAATGAGCAAACCGGCCAACAAGCGAAGACATGACATTAAAGCATACTTAATCTGAAGAAGCAAACTTGCTCTTCGAAATAGACTCAGCAAAATGACTAAGAACATAAACACCACATCGAAACAACATCAAACTTAGTAGCGACTAACAGCCAACAACCAACTAAAATAAAAAAATGTTTCAATCATCAGAATGAGACTGAAATAGAAGAAGAGGTGGTAGGAACATTATGAAGAGACATTACCTTTCGAAGTGCAGCAAACAGGGACAGCAACGAGTTGGAGACGACTGACTTTCACCACCACAAGTTCCGGCTCGAGCAGCGATAATCGAAACTAGTTCTCCTCTATTTTTTTGAGGTATTTAGTAGGTGTTTTAGCTATTTTCGCTTAAGCTATTTGTGTGTATTTTTGCTCAAATCAAAATCCGACTTTTCTCCCTATATCCGTCAAGAACCTCCAACCCCATATGAATGGAGAAGAGGACATTTAAAGGCGAAATTAGGATAAAAATGGGGTGAAAAAAGCGGGAGATTTTCGGATGGGGACGAGGCCCATTAAAAAATTCAAACTCCAAACTTTCACCATTTTGGGATGACACCTTTTTCTTGCAAGTTTCGTCCCATTTCGGAAGAGGAAATGGGACAGCCACGTGCCTGCTGCCTGCTGTACGATTTTCTGGGCTGCTGGCTCGATTTTGGTCATTTTCTGCGTGAAGAAGAAGGGAGAAATGTATAGGGGTCGGTTTGGGGTGTATGTTGTGTTTTTGTACGTATGTTGCTGGAATTTTGGATTGTTGGTAATGGGCTGGGTTATTGGAGAGTGGGAATTGTTGAGCTGTTGATGTTGCTGTAAGTATTACATGGGGTGGGTCTTTGTGGGAATGGGCTGGGAATTATTTTGTTATAAGAGTGTTGGGCAGGGGTTATTGTTGTAAGAGTTAGTGGGCTGAAAGTTGGGAATGTAAGGCCCAAAATGGGTCTTACAAAGAGTGAAGACAAGGTTAGGGAAAGTGGCTAAAATTGCAATTTATAGCCATTGAATTAAGGACTTAGCCAACTCGAGTTAATTAGTGAATTCGGCTAGAAAACTAAATAAGATGAATTAACATAAATTAATTAATGAGTTTCTTAATCTTAACGAAATAAAATAATTAACTTAATTGTAAACTAATGATTCAAAATTATAACCATAATTTAAACTAAACTAATTTAATAAAATACTTACTAAAATTAAAAAAAAATTGAGATAATTTTCGAAATGTTTATGAAATATACTAATTATATACAAAATTATATAAAACATATATATTACTTAAAAATTATAAAAATGATAAAATTAATTAAAGGTAACTTGAAAAATATTTTGAACTTAATAAAAACTAATCATTTCAAATCGTTTGGAATTTAAGAAGCTCGGTGATTAATTTGTATTGTGGAGGTCCAAAATCGGGTGTCAACACCAACAATCACCTGTGACAAACCATTGTAAGGAGATGAAGAGTTTAACGCTCTCGTCCAAAATCATACTTGGACATTAGTTCCTCCACCTTCCAATGTGAATATAGTAGAAAATAAATGGGTATATCGGATTAAGTATGGTCCTACTGGCTCTATAGACCGCTTCAAAGCTCATTTGGTTGCACATGGCTTTTCTCAATAGCCAGGTTTAGATTATACAAAAACTTTTGCTCCTGTGATCAAGTTAAGCACTGTTCGAGTAGTGTTATCTTTGGCTCTTCTTCATAATTGGTGTATGCATCAATTAGATGTATTTAATGCCTTTCTACATGGAGAGCTAAATGAAGATATTTATATGTGGCAGCCCAAAGGTTTTGAACATTCTGATTATCCACAACATGTGTGTAAGCTACGTCGTGCCATTTATGGATTGAAATGATCACCTAGAACGTGGTTTACTCGACTTGCAAATTATCTTTTGGACCTTGGTTTTAAGCAATCTACCTCCGATCACAGCATATTCACTTTTCGACAAGACAGTTCTATTTTGATACTTCCTATTTATGTTGACGACATTGCTGTTTTTGGATTCTCACAGCGGCTTGTTGATGATTTTATCGAATCCATGAAAGCTGAATTTGCAATGAAAGATCTTGGTTCCCTTCATTACTTTTTAGGTGTGGAGATAGTTCACAATACTGCTGGGGCTCTTCTGCTGCAACGGAAATATATATCGAACCTTTTGCATCGATTTGATTTGGCTGAAGTTAAGCCTGTCCAAACTCCTCTGTATAGTAAGCTTGATTGGCATTCTGTGGATACCCAACTTCTTGATAATCCTTTTATGTATCGTAAGATGGTCGGAAGTCTTCAATATTTATCCTTCACACGACCGGATATACAATATGCTGTGAATATGGCTTCCCAATTTCTGCATCAACCTCGTCTTATTCATTTTCAAGCCATTAAGCGAATCTTTCGCTATCTTAAAGGCACTCCTGCTCATGGGTTGCAGCTGAACAAAAATACTTTCCACTCCTTAACTCCCTTCTTAGACTCGGACTGGGCGGGATGTACAACAACTCGTCGCTCTACCTCTAGATTTTGCATTTTCCTTGGGAGTAATTTGATATCTTGGTCTACAAAGAAACAACCAATTGTTGTGCGCTTAAGCACCGAAGCTAAATATCGTGCTCTGGCTGTTGCCACTACCGATGTTATATGGATACAATTTCTTCTCCGTGAATTGGGTATTTATCTTCCCACTCCTATTCTTGCCAAATGTGATAATATTGGCGCCATCCATCTTGCACATAATCCGGTCTTTCACTCAAGATCAAAACATGTTGCTTTGGACTATCATTTTATTCGTGAAAAGATTGCCCAAGGTGACCTTACGGTTTCTCATGTTCCCACCTCACAACAACTTGCAGATGTATTTACGAAAGATGTATCTATTACAAAATTCAAGGCGTTTTGGGTCAATCTTCATGTTCGTTCCTCCTCTTCAGATTGTGGGAGGGTGATAAGGATATTATTGTAAATATAATTGAGAGTTTTTTTTAATTAAAGACCCATTGGGCCACTTTATTGAAAAATAAAATATGTACACAAATAGGATCATCCCATACGGCCAGACCCAAATTAAACAAAATACAAAAGAGACAATCAAATAGGAAAGTTGAAAAGGATGGACATTTCTAAAGATAGTAAACCAAAGAGGCAACTGAAGCATCAGATAGCTTCAATGTTGGTGTTCATGGTCGGAGCTTCCTCTTCATCGATGATACCAGATCCACCATTGAATATCTCACTGCCGATTTAAGCTTTTCATCCAGGAGTTCTATCACGTGACTTTTGCATCTCAAATTGGCTCTTCTTTCTTAGATCTATCATTCAATGGATTGAATCCCACAACTGAGATTGATACCACCATCAAATTTTAGATCCTTAAAAGATAAATTAACTTTTTTTTTTGAGGTTTCTTGCAGAAAATGAATTACTTGTGTCATTTGCAAGCTTCATGCACAACTACTCTAGCTGCTTGCCGATGAATCGAGTCTTTCTCCGTCAGTAGCCAAAGGTAACTTTGAAACCTTCTACAACAACTTGAATTTCTTTAGCCTCTTCTATAATGTATTGAACCCGACTAGGTTAATACCACCATCTAAGTCAAGACTATCGACATTCTATGTTGCTGTGTGATTTAAGTTACCTGTGTATGAATACTCAACTGCTGTAGTAGAAAAATACTACTCTCAATCTTTGAGTCCTGGTTTAATACCATTTGCAACACCTCAAAGCTCTCACCAGGTGCATAGTACTTTAACCAACCGAAAAAATTTTCAGACATCAAAGATTGAATTGATTGAATATTTCTACGTACTTCACTTTTGCATTCATAATACTTATTGACACTGTCAACTCTAATTAATTTGAAAATACTGTGGAATCTGTCTTTTGAATTCTCATGTATAGTGTTTTGTACTTGTCAAGGTTGATTATGTTTTTTCCTAAACTTGGAACTTCCTGAAAAGATTTATATTCATAATTACATGCAAAATGAAAAACCAAGTTAGCAAAAAAATCTGCCAGAGTATTTCCCTCCCTTAAGGAGTGTTGTACTCTTACTGATAGCACCTCCCTTAGCCTGTTGATGGAGTTGACCACCATTGTCACACTCCAAGGAATCTCCCAAACACCATTAAGAATCGAATCATTGCCAAGGAATCAAATTCAAGAATGATGTTTAAATAATTATTCTCCCAACAGTATTGCAATCCTTCCTTAATGGACTTTGCCTCAGCTGTGACTTGTAGACTCTGCAAATTTCACACCCTTAGCACCAACTAAATGTCACGACCCGAGCCTACACCCTGGACGTGGCCGGCACTCGAAGACCATTGCTGGTCCCCAAGCGAACCCTCATCCTGGCTGACTACAAGCGGAAAACTGATTCAAGCATACAAAGCTTAAAAACTGAAATAAAAGTTCGTAAAACTTAAATACAAACTTTAAGTCCAAAGAAAACTCTGTATAATAAAATATATACAACTCGCCATAAAAAAGCAACTTTAGTCTTTAAAACATTTAATAAAATAAATGATACAGACTTCTCAACTATACTGACTATCTATGAAGCCTCTAACTGATAAAGATGGAAGTCGGGACAAGACCCACGATATCCTAACAACTGATATGACTGTAAGGTAAATGAAATCCTCTGAAAGCAAGAAGGCTCACCATAGCTAACTCGAACTCTTGGATGTATCAACGAAGCTCTTGTTGATGATCCTGAATACCTGTGTCTGCATCATGAGAAGATGCAGGCCAAATGGCTCAGTACGTGGAATGTACGAGCATGTAAGGGGAATTCTAAAACATAAACATAAGCTTGAAACTTGATAAAAAGAAAACATATTTGCCTCTTTTCAAACTTACTCAACTCAAGGAATACTCCAAACTACTCAAACTTACTCAACTCAGAAGTACTCAAGGATAAGATACTCAACTCAGAGATTAGATACTCAACTCAAGGATATGATATTCGACTCAAAGATATGATATTCGACTCTGGATGCTCAACTCTGGATACTCAACTTTGAATACTCAACTCAATATGACTGAACTCATTTCAATATAAAGCAATTTAAAACAAGTGCAATATAAAGAAACAAACTGTTTAAAAACATGCTCTGAAATCTGTGTGTATGCAAGGATACAACATAACTCTGAAATGTATATAAAAATACAATAAACTGATGTATATAAAAATACAATAAACTGATGTATATAAAAATACAATAACTTCTGTGGGAGTTTCTCTAACCGACAACCATCACATAAGAGCTATAGTGATGATACAACGATCTACCTCACGCTGCCAGCGCATCCTATACCCGGCCAAATGTATAGGACCTGAACTACTAATGGATCCACTAGTCTATGTGAAAAAGGTTCATCTAAAAAGTATGACCCTTTTCTACCCATGATGGCTACATGGTTTATGGGGGCTGTGAGTTGTCTGAACTCTCCCCCATATCGGTGCTCAATACTACTCCCAAAATATACTAGCTCTTATGTTTTAAAAACATACTTTTTTTCTGCTGATTTGAGATAATTGCTGAAAAACTTAGCTCAAAGGCTATCTTGGAAATCTCAGTTTCCCTGCTTGCTTCATTTAGAAAGCTATTACTCTTTTCTGAAAACTAGCCCGAAGGCCCTTTGGAAATCTCAGTTTCCGTTCTTATTTAAATGTGAAAACATTTATAAACTCCTTGGGAATACTTAGTCCCCATATACTTTTGAAGAAAATGACTTCAAATTTTACTCTTTACTCTTTACTGAATTCAAAACTTAAGTCTTAAAACAAAGTTAAAACGTTTGTAAAAGACTTCTTAAAATATGGTTCATACCGAATTATGGACATGAACTACTCAATGCAAGGTTTTCAATAACCATAGATAGAACTCAAATACTTGGAACCCAAGAACTTCAATAATACTACTCATTTCAAGAATGCTCAACTCAGAGTTCATGCGAAATTATGAGCATGAACTACTCAACTCAATGACTCAAAGATATCTCTCATCTCAAGACTGTTCGACTTATAATGTTCATGCGAAATTATGGGCATGAACAATTCAACTCAAGGACTTCATGGATAACATGTAATAGTCCCATGATTAGAAATATAATCTCAAAGGGGTTAGAAACTCAATACTTGAAAGGCTTAGAACTTGAAGACACCACTTCTCTAAAGGATGCTCAACTTACGACGTGCATGCGGAGTTTATGGGCATGAACGACTCGACTCAAGGGTCAAAATATCAATAAGGAATTCATGTACAACTCTTCTCATTCTCATACTTACTTTCTCAAAATTTAACTCAAATCGATGATGGATCTCAAAGGATTCAGAATTGAATTCAAAGGCTTCCTTGAACTCTACTCTTAACTCTCTCTTGAATTTGAATTATGAATTCAAGAGTTATGATTCATGATATGAAGGATCTCAATAACAATATAGCTATTCGATAATTAGGAATAGAACTTTTAAAAGAAACATGAATCCAAGAACTCAAAATCAACTTATCTCAAGAATACTCAAATCTAGGGAAAGTATCCTAGATTACTCTTTTTCTGATCTGAAAGTAGATGTAGGGCGTGAGGATGAACTAGTCCAACACTATGATAGCCTTACATACCTAGAAGAACAAGATTCTTGAAGAATCTTGAAGAAGAACTTGATTAGAAGCCTTGAAACCCTAGCTTGAAGGTAAACAATCAAGAAAACCTTTCTTGAGATTTTTGAATTAGTTTCTTGAAATCTCTATGGCCAAGAATTATTATTTTCATTAGTGAAGATGAAAATCTGATTGTTTTGAGCCTTTATTAGTCAATAATTTCATTTATGGTTTCTTGGAGGTAAAAAGACAAAAATGACTCTTTTTAATATTTTCCCGTCGGCTAATTCGTAACAGCACTGTATAGGTTACTAAAATAGTCATAACTTTTTACTCATATATTGGATTGACGTGAAACTGGTGGGGTTGGAAAGTAGATTCAATTACCTTTAATTGGATAGGTTATGGCTCACGTAACTCTTAATATTCTAAGAGATATGGTCGTTTAAAGTTGACCCAAGCAGAATCTTATATTAAAACATAATGAAACTTCAAGAACACTTACCAAGAACTCAAATCTTTAAATTTCAAGAACGAAATTACGCCGAATAAATCATGATTGGCATGTGGGTAAAAGAACCCAACACTATGGAAGCTTACATACCTCCATGTGGGTAAAAGAACCCAACACTATGGAAGCTTACATACCTCTTAGGGATCAAACCCATGGCGAAAATCCGCTACAACACGCAAGAATCTCGACGAACGCTTGATCCTCTCCTCTTTTCTCCTCTTCTCTCTTCTTTTCTCTTCTTGAACTCTCAACTAAAACCCTAGGCTAATTTTAGGATTATAAAACTGAACCTAATAGGATTAGACCCTTAAAATATTACTAAAATCGAATTAAATCTAATTGGGTAAGGAAAAGACCAAAATACCCTTCTCTATTTTCGGCTAACCTTCCTTAACTGGGCAGCCTATCTTCAAAAGGTCATATCTCACTCATCCGACCTCGAAACATAGCAAACTCCATGGCGTTGGAAATATAATTCAAAGATCTTCTCTACGATATCTGGTAGCATACCTAATTCATCCTGAGATAGGAGTTATGGTCATTTGAAGTCGACCCAAAACTCATACTTAAGCATAACTTGCAAAATTTCAGATTTTGCTATTTCCAATTTAATTCTTTTTGAAACTCAAGGTGCTACATCTAGTGACCTTAACACTTAAGAAATTTTAAATCCCTTGGTAAAATCTCACTCACTACGAAGAACGGTTTGAGTCTTAGTTCAAAAAATTTCTGGGGTGTTACACTAAATCACCTTCATAATTTTTACTGTGTTTTATATTACAGTTGTTGCTTTTTATTATTATTCTATTACTAGTAAAATTACCCGTGCGAAGCGCGGGTATT